AAAAGCTTCTGTGTGTAAAAGCGTCTGTGTGTGTAAAAGTCTCTGTGTGTAAACGCGTCTGTGTGTAAAAGCGTCTGTGTGTAAAAGCGTCTGTGTGTAAAAGTGTCTGTGTGTAAAAGCGTCTGTGTGTAAAAGCGTCTGTGTATAAAAGCGTCTGTGTGTGTAAAAGTCTCTGTGTGTAAAAGCGTCTGTGTGAAAGCCTCTGTGTGTAAAAGCGTCTGTGTGTCAAAGCGTCTGTCTGTAACAGTCTCTGCGTGTGAAAGTGTTTGTGTAAAAGCGTGTGTGTAAAAGCGTCTGTGTGTGCAAAAGTCTCTGTGTGTAAAAGAGCCTGTGTGTAAAAAGCGTCTGTGTGAAAAAGCGTCTGTGTGTAGAAGCGTCTGTGTGTAAAAGCGTCTGTGTGTAAAAGGGTCTGTGTGTAAAAGCGTCTGTGTGTAAAAGCTTCTGTGTGTAAAAGCGCCTGCGTGTAAAAAGCGTCTGTGTGTAAAAGCTTCTGTGTGTAAAAGCGCCTGCGTGTAAAAAGCGTCTGTGTGTAAAAGCGTCTGTGTGTAAAAGCTTCTGTGTGTAAAAGTCTCTGTGTGTAAAAGCGTCTCTGTGTGTAAAAGCGTCTGTGTGTCAAAGCGTCTGTGTGTAAAAGCGTCTGTGTGTAAAAGCGTCTGTGTGTAAAAGAGCCTGTGTGTAAAAAGCGTGTCTCCATAGTAACAACAGAAGACTCTGCTCCTCTACGCTCTCGGGCCGTCCGTCGTCTAGTTGGTCTTTATGGCTTTGATCGTCTGGAGCCACTTGTGTGAGAGTTGCTACGGCTTTTTACGGCCTTTTTTCAACAAAATGTCGAAAAACTACGGTTTTGCTACGGGTAGGCTTGTGTGATAGCTGCTACGGTTTTTTTACGCTTTTTTCTCTCAACAACATGTTGAACAAATACGGCTTTGCTACGGGTAGGACTGCAATGTTCTTTTGTTTTGACCATTTTTTTGGTCATGACGGGTAAAAAAAAATATTTTACCAAATAACTGATCATTACGATTTTTTCTCATAATGACCAGAAAAAAATGTGTTTTTGGCTTTCCAGGTATATATATTGTTTTTTATATATGTATATATATATATATACAGTATATATATATATTATAACCCCGCCTAGAACACATTCAGAATGATAATACACAGTTCGCGAGGCTGAAGTGTGTTCAATTGAATTTGCAGAAGAATTCATGGGCCAAATGTATCCAAATAGATGTCCTTTGTCGGAATCCCTGGCCAGCTTTCCAGGGGTGCACGGGTGGTATGTTCCCAGCTGAGGCTGGGAGCCTACGAGAGCCAAGCCGGCTGCCCCAAAGGCCGGGAAGAACCTGACCCATGTCCATGTTAGCCACATCAGCGTGTGTGTGTGTGTGTGTCGGATCTTGCGTTCTTGAATGGCTTCGCATGGATGTACCCATTTGGGTGCTGGCAACCAATCTGCCTTTGCTGAATGTGGCCAGGCAGTCGTGCAGGTCCCTCGATCTGCGATTCCCAGGTGCTTCATGGGCATGATGGAAGCGTAGATGTACCGCACCACCTGGTCGTGCTTTCACACAATTGCGGATTCTGCTCGACTCACTTGCTGTGTGTGTGTGCATATTATGTGCATGTATATAAATATATAATATATTATATATACATATGTTCATTCAATGTCTATCGCTCCTTGATGCATCCATTCCAGGCATCGCTGCACCAATGCACCTGTTCAGCCATGTGAACCAATGATAATTGATATATTAATACAACATGTCAATACATATCATAACTACTCCATTATTGATCATTGATCCTATATATATATTTATATCAGAATATATCCATGTGTCCTGAGTAGTCTATTTGTATGTTTTTACGTGAGCATCGGGGGGGAGACAGGAAGTCATTTGATGGTATACCGGTATACCAGTAGTACCGCACAAGGCGGTGGCGGAAGGTTCAAAAATAGGAAACCTATAGGAGAGGTTGGTTGTTGTGAATCACGGATGGCAGAGCGAATCCACTGATGGACTGACAGGTGGTTGGAGTTGTGTTTTTTGGAGTGGTTGCAATGGTTGCAGTGGTCACCTGACCACAACTGCTGGATGTAGCGTGGTGTGGCGCAGTTGCAGTTGTAGTTGTAGTGTGGTGTAGTGGAGTTATAGTTGTAATGTGTAATGAGTGTAGTGCAGTTGCAGTTGTAGTTGTAGCTGTGGTGTGGTGTAATTAGTGTAGTGTATTGTAGTGTACTGTATTGTAGTGTACTGTAGTGTTGTGTACTGTAGTGTGGTATAGTGTAGTGTAGTCTAGTGTGGTGTAAGGTAGTGTAGTTGTAATTGTAGTGTGTGTAGTGTAATTGGTGTAGTGTCGTGTAGTGCAATTTAGTGGTAGTTACACTTGTAGTTGCAGTTGTAGTTGTAGCGTAGCGTAGTGTAGCGTAGTGTAGTGTTGTGTAATGTAGTGTAGTTGCAGTTGCATTTTTATTTGTAGTTGTAGTGTGCTGCAGTGCAACTAGTGTAGTGTAGTGTAGTTAGCGTAGTTAGTTCATTTGTATTTGTAGCTGTAGTAGTAGTGTGGTGTAGTGTAGTGGTCGTGGTAGTGGTTGTTGTTGTTGTTGTAGCTGTCTATCTAGCTATCTATCTACCTAATCTATCTACCTAATCTATCTATCTATCTATCTATCTATCTGTCTGTCTGTCTATCTATCTATCTATCTATTCGAATCTATCTAATCGAATCTACCTATCTATCTATCTATTCGAATCTATCTAATCGAATCTATCTAATCGAATCTATCTAATCGAATCTATCTAATCGAATCCGTCTAATCGAATCTATCTATCTAACTAATCGAATCTATCTAATCGAATCTATCTAATCGAATCTATCTAATCGAATCTGTCTAATCGAATCTATCTATCTAACTAACTAACTAACTAACTAACTAACCAACCAACTAACTAACTAACTAATCGAATCTATCTAATCTATCTATCTAATCTATCCATCTAATCTTTCTATCTAATCTATCTATCTATCTAATCTATCTATCTATCTACCTGTCTATCTATCTATCTACCTATCTATCTATCTATCTACCTATCTATCTCTCTCTCTCTCTCTGTCTGTCTGTCTATCTGTCTTTCTGCACGCGTCAAAACGAAGCTATTCTACAAGACTTCCTGAATTTGTGTACTTGACAGCATCAAAAACGCAGCAATTCAGCGAGACTTCCTCAATTTTTGAACTTGACAACGTCACAAACGAAGGAATTGTGCGAGACTCCTCATTTTTCAAAGTTGACAACATCAAAAACGAAGCAATTCTGCGAGACGTCCTTCAAAAATGAAAAGTTGAGTGCAGAGCTGACGGCCTCGTACCAATTCGTTTTGCGATTTTTCCAGTCCATTTGTCTAAGCTACTGTGCCTGCCACGAAAAAGTGATGCCAGGTCACACGAAGTGCTGCAACTGTCACGCAAAATCATCTCAGCAAACCTGGAGATCTGATGCTCCAAAAGTAACCCCTCTCAGGAAATCAGCGCCCGGATCTCCTAACAGCTCTGATGAACATGTCTCTTGCACTGCGCCTGCCATGGAAAATGCATTTTTGCAGATCCTGCTCAAATGTCCCACGCCTGCCATCGTGTTTGGAAATGCTACAAAACCCTCACGTTTTGCTCACTTGTGACAAGGTGCACAATCCCTTGCGCCTGCCACGCGAAACGACATCTGAACCTCCAAAAGTGGCGCGAACATGTGGTGTTCTGTACATTTTGACTTCGAAATGTGCTTCGCGTATCTTCGCGCCACAACGGCGTGCACTTGTTCGACATCTCAACTTCCAAAAGTGCTCCGAGGATTGTGTGTTTTGTATGTCTTGACTTCGAAATGTGCTTCGCGCCACAACGGCATGCACTTTTCGACATCTCAACTTCCAAAAGTGGTCCGAGAATGGTGTGTTTTGTATGTCTTGACTTCGAAATGTGCTTCGCGCCACAACGGCATGCACTTTTTCGACATCTCAACTTCCAAAAGTGGTCCGAGAATGGTGTGTTTTTCTACATGTTGACTTCGAAATGTGCTTCGCGCCACAACAGCGTGCAATTTTTCATCTCTCATCTGGTCTGGCTCCGCACCCGCCGCTTTAGCGAGCCTACTTTTCGACCCTCCGGAGCCACAAATCATTGGAAAAACACAGTGTTTCGCGACTTGTCTACCTTTTCGCGCATCTGCATCTTCTTTCTTCTGACTCTTTCTCTTCTCTGATCTTTTCTTTTCTACTCTTCTCTTCTCTCTGACTCTTCCCATCTCTGCTTTTCATCTCATATGTATATGTAATGTTTAGTTTGGCAACCGCGCTGGGCACGGCAGAAGGAATTGGGTTCATTCTATCCGAACTGCTGATTGTGAGTCTTGCTCCAAGCTGTTGAGCATCTCATGTCGAATGTGCATGCACATTGGGGCCCATACTTCCACATACCAAAGAGATCCTGACCCTGCCCTCTGTGGAAAATGCATTTGGGGATGGAAATGGTGGAGGGACTTCAATTCCTTTTGTGGGAGTGTCATAGGTATCATAGGAAGCCCCTGGCGAAACTGTTCCCAATCGGAGCATTTGGACACTGACATGAGGTAACACGCTCTTGCATCAGTCGATTTGATGATATTTGTCATGATATGGAATATATATATAATTATATATATATTATATATATACTGTAATTATGGTAGAATCAGCAGATTCTGTTCGATTCTGTTCGGGTCCATAGTCATTTGAACGCCCCACTGCCCCACTGATGCAATTCCCACGCTCTCTTCCAGGCGTGACATGGATGATCCACGGCAATGGCCTCCGCCTCCGATTCCTTGCAGGTGTCAACTGCTCATGGGGCACATTGTATTTGTTTCATGGCGTGGAGTACTGCACGTTTTCAATTCTGGGTATGGTAGCATCAAAAATTCTAGATAATCAAGAGCTTCCGGATTCTCTAGAATCAAGAGAATTATATACAAAGCGTGGCTGCGATGAATGCGAATGCCTTCAGGCGACCAGCTGTGGAGATCCTTGCCGAACTCGAGGTCGACAAATGTTGACTTGCTTTTGCAACCAACCACCCGCTGCAATTGAGTCGCAAAAGACGTTGGGGTAGTGATTGCCCTCACGCAAAACATTGGCACAAACTACGGCATCGAAATGCATCCTGTTTCGGTCTTCTCTCAGCATATCGTCGGAAAGAGAGTGCTCTTCCATGTTTTCCAGGCAGAGCAGGCGAGACGACGTGCTGAAATTCCTGATCTGCCAAAGGGTAGGAACCAGGACCATGAGAAGTTCAGCTTGCAGGACGCTGGATGACACCGGGCCTGGTGGGCAGGGCTGGACAGTGCATGGCAAGACTGATGGCATGTGATGCAACACACGAAGGCAAAAGGTCGTTATATTTTCATTTTTTCCTACAGCATTGGCATCATAATCAGATGTTTTAGCAATGCCGAGATGCGGCAGTTGATGACCTGTTCTCAGAAGTTCAGTTGCAGCATCAGGATGCAACAGGTCGAGATTTTTTCTCATGCGATGATTCCTTTGGTGCCCTCGAACCATACCGAACCGCTCGTCCAGGAGCGATTCCGCTATTGCGGTGCCAAGATGTTGCCCAAAGGCAGCATGGGTTATGTAGAGCCTGGACAAGTGCCTCCCACAGGTGGGGCGACTGAGGCGCGGGAGATGCTTTTGAACCTTGGCCATGGGTAGTCACTTAGTCCTGAGATGTCCCGAGTCGTTCTACATGAGTGTTTGAATATGTTTGAATCATTTTGAATCACATGGAATCGTATTGATTTTGATGAAATCAATAAACAGTGCAGGGTCAAGTGCTGATCACGATGCACTTATGTCATCTTATGTCTAGCCTCATGTGGCCCGATTACACTCAAAGGCTATCTCACTGAGATTGCTATGAACAGGGAGAAGGCTGAATTGAAGGTCCCTGCAATAGTGTGATGTATTGTGATGCTGGGGCAACTGTCTTCCAGAATCCAACCTTAAAATTCCAGCTTGATTTCATTGATTTCCATCAATTTGGAAGCCCGAGTGTTCAAGATCTTTGCATTGCAGCATTCCTCATTGCTGCGATGCAGGCGGCTCTGAAAAGAGAAGAAAGAAAGCGACTTGACGAGCAGCTTGACTTTGAAGTGCAGCTGGTTGGGTGAACACAGAACTACAATCTGCCTGGCACGGCTATTCATTGTGGAGTTCTTTGTAAGTGTTTCATGGTGCTGTGTGAAACCAAGCGGGTTTCACACCGCACCCTGTCTGTGCTTCCATCCCGCACGGCTGCACGCACACTTCATTCGGATGACGAGCACTTGGGTTCTTGCAGGAATGGCTTCAACGCAGAGCAGCGCGAAATTTTTGAGCATCTTATCATCGGAGTACAGCGCAAGCAAGTGTGCAGCTGAGCTGAGCAGTTGCCATGTTCCGCCAGCAGAAGCCATGAAGGTGCAAAATGAAAATAGTCAGATTCCTTCACAGCTGAGCTGGGCTAGTGACCTAGGCGCGCATTGCTCAGATTGATGAGGAGGCAGTGGACCAAAGGCCCAGCAAAGCCAAAACAGCCAAGAACAAGGAGGCATCGGCTCATGGAAAGCTCACAAACTCACTAGATTGCAGGTTGAGTTGCACCCCATTTGTTTTCGAATGATTTCAGTTGCATCCGCTTGATGTGATAAATGTAAGTTTCCCATAGTTTCCCTGCCTCAGTGCCAAAAAAGTGCTGCGGTTTTCATGTCATGTTCACAGTTCACATATGTTATATAAGATATAGACACTTGAGATACCGCAGCGGCCAGAAGTCAGACTCTGATCCCCTGTTGCTGCCTCTTTGACTTGTCGGTAGCTTGTCTGTTGCTTTTTCCTTGGTTTTTTCTTGGCTCGCGCGGCATTGCACCACGGGCAGTGGGCATACGAGCACTCACATGTTTGGATAGATCTTTCCTACATTTTCCTACTATTTAGTTGTTCATGTTCAATGTGGATTTTTTTGGCTCGAAAAAAACAGGCCTTGGAGCTGAGGAATGCTATAGATCGCAATTGGCTTAGCTTTCGTCATTGAGACATGTGCATTGTTGGTATGATGTTTTGTTGGAACTAACCTGCACGTGTGAACTTAGCCAGCGATATGTGTTGGAAAGGCCGCCTCTACTTGTACTTCTGATGCAGTTTATGATGTGTCATATCTGAAGCGGAGCTCAGGTGATTTGAAAGACATGCAGACACTAATGAGTATGGGTGAGAGGCAGCTTGGGCAGATGGAGACATGAGCAGATTTATGCGAAAATTGCTGCAAACGAATTAACTCATGCTATCCATGAAAAGTGAAGTTCTGCATTTCTGCTTGAGGACCAACTGCATTTCTTGCATTACAACAGCGTCTTGCAGTCAGAAGACTGGAAAAGAATCCAGACGCTTACCAAGAACCTTTTGGATGGTTGCGGCGTCGCAGTGGGTCCATCGGGACGTCGCAGTCAAAGGAACAAGAAAACAAGGAAACGAGCGAGAGAGAGAGAGAGAGGGGGAGATTGGAAATCAAGAACAGGGTCTAGCGCTGGTACCAGGCTCATTTGTTCTTATATTATATATAGAAGGTGTCCAAAATTGCTGAAAAAGGCCACCCGATGACCATCACCAGCTGTTGGCTGGAAAAGTGGCAGAAAATGCAGAGATCTCCAAGTTTCACATTTGTACAAACTTGCAAGTCACAACAGTTGTTCTTAGCTGACTCGTGAATGCAAGCTGCTGCGTACGCTAAAAGTGGTAGGGCATTCCCTGGCCGAGAGAGCAGAATTCCTTGCAGGCATAAACCAAAGTGGATGCAGACAGAGGGAACGACCAAGGGTTCTGAAACTTATGGCTGTTCGTTCCTGATTCTGGACGTGATGATTAAGTGCTGCGACCTCACCGGGGAGATAGGGCCTCTATGGGCCTCTAGTATGTTGGATCAGAGCCGCTTGATTTGATTACCAGGTGACCCTCTATTCTCCCGCACTCTTGAAGATTCGTATTGAAGTCTAAGACGAAAACTGGAATGCTCAGGCTTAGATATGCTTAGATAGATGTTGTCAATTGTCCGAGGCCAAAGCCCTTGCAGCCGCACAGGCAGCTGCGTTGGGCTGCTCTTGAAGGATGTCAAAGGATGTCAAAGGAAAGGTGGTCAAAGTAGTTCTAGCTCAGCATAGCTTTAACCATCACCGGATCAAGTGCGTGGCCTCAGGCAACTGGGAGAAGGTCCGCAACAACCTTTATATAACACGTGTTCGTCATGTGTTGGATGATTGGGGATGTAGGATTCATGTTAGACATTGTTAGACCATTTTCTTGATAGAAGATCCAGATTTTTCTTGGGGGAGTGTTTACGGAGGATCTGAGTTGGAATGACACGGATATTGAATAATGATAGACTTTGTGTTGGCGCAAGGACTTTTCACGCAGCAAGGGCCCGGCAAAAGTTGTTCATTGCGGCTCCAAACATTGCAAGGTGGCCCCCGGCGCTTTTGGTGCGTCCATATCCTGGATCATTTGTTTGCGGATGTTCCATTCTATCGATTCCACGACAAGTAAGTCCTTCTAGGTGAGGGGCTAGCAAATAACGGCAAGATGTAGCGGGAGAGTATCAAGAAAGCTTCAGGCTTGTGCGATCTTGTGCGAATTTGTTTGAATTTGCGTCCCTTTGTCCTTCTTGTTTGAGGCCAGCCTACCCCACAGATCTGATGCCGCATGCTCAAGTCCCTGGCAGACTATTCCGAACTAGGACTCGGACAAAAATGCAGACAGCAAGAAAGATCCATAAATGCTTTAACAGAGATACGCAAGTCATTTCACTGTTTGTGAGGCCAAGAAGCCCAATCCCAATCCCATTGCCTACTGATGTGGTGAAGGCCTTTTGCTGTGACCTCTTGGGCCCTTCGCATCCTCTCTTAGATTGAAAACAAAAAGCCTGAGAAGGTGTAGCCTGTTGTTAGTCAGTTGCTTGCATTATTTGATGCATCCTATTGTGTTTTCATTTCTCGGTTAGCGTGTTTCACGCTGGAGTTCAAAGCATGGCCAGTGCCAAAGAAGAGAGTCCTGGTGCAGGAGCGTATGGAGTTGCTGAGCAGGAGCTTGCAGCAAAAGGGGTGCGCCTCGCAAAGGGTGCCTAAATTGAGATAGTGCAGAAAAAAACTGAAAGATAATTTTAAAAAATGTACAGCAAGGTCAAGATGGAGCAAGGGCCATAGTAAGAACTTTCAGAATCTTGAACAGCTTTCCGCATTGCTGCAATAGGTACAACCTGTCATCTGGCCTTGTCCTTTTCGACCAGACGGGTAACCAGGATCTCAAGAGACAAACCAAGTGCACCGGCTGCATTGGTTTTCTGCCCTTGCGCTGGAAGAAGAAACTGAACCCTGATGAAGCGCCCTCTCCTATTTCACAAAGATTTGAGGCGCATATGCACACATACAAATATTGGTAGCCATTTATCTATAGTGCATGTTTTTCTTAGTTTAGGGATTTTTGTTGGGATTCCTCCCTCTGTTCCGGTTTTTTTCCGTTCTCTGCTTTTTTGCTTCTCTGCTTTTTTTTGCTTCTACGCTTCTCTGTTGATTTCTGCTTATCTGCTTTCTTGCCTTTCTGTTTTTTTTGCTTCTCTGCTTTCTGTTTTTATGTGTTTTGCTTCTACGCTTCTTTGTTTCTCTGCTTTTTTGCTTCTCTGTTTTTCTGCTTCTCTGTTTTTTCTCTTTTTTTGTTGATTGCTTTGTTTGCTTCGCAGTTTTTTGTTTTCTACTCGCTTCGTTGTTGTTTTGCTGGATTTCAAGTGCAGCTATAACTACATGAAGAACAGCGCCAGCAGCACAAACACCAAGAGCAGCAAATACAAAGGAACAACAAGAACAACAATAGCAACAAAAGCAACAATAACAACAAGAACAACAAGAGAAACAAGAGAAACAAGAACAACTACAACAAAGAGAAACACAACTAGAACGAAGTTGTGGTGCTTTCATGTTGATGTTTTTGGTATCTTTGCGTTGGTGGAAAGACCATGATGTAAGTCAGCTGGTTAACAAGTTAAGGTTTCACATTGCTTCAACTATTGACCAAAATGGAAGGCCGCCACGCAAAATGGAAGGTTGCAGTTCAAAATGCTGCAAATATCATATGCAGAATCCTGCAAATACCATGCAACATGAAAGGGTCTGTATAATTCTATATATATATATATCTTCCAAATGTCGCAGCTGTCATGCGAAACGAGACGTTCTACCTTCACAATGCAGGTTGACGTGGCAGAATGCTGAAAATATGAAAATATTGAAAATACCACGCGAACAGAGGGTATCCATTTGGCTACCGCTATGAGTTTACGAATGTGCCATATGAGCGTTCCACTGTACCATCATGGCTTTGTCATCTTTGAACTCTGTTGTTTGTTTCTCTGTTTTTTTGGCCTTGGTGGTTTCGCCAGTTTTCTTTCTTCTTGGCTTTGCGAAGCTTTATACGGGTTTCTTGACTTCACCTGTTCATCTGTTCATTGCAACCAAAGCCACAATCGTAAGAAAATCACAAACACAGCCTACACCCAAACAAAGACCACAACATAAACAGTTGTTGATAGATGTTGATAGTGTGTTCCTCCAGCTACTGTACACCACCACCAACAACAACCAGTAACAGCAACAACAACAAGAAGAAACTACTATTACAACTACAACTGTAGCTACAACGACAAAAACTACAGCAACTACAACAGCTTCAACTGCAACAAGAACAAGAAAACAAACCAGAACCCACAACTACTGTAACAGACAACAACCAACAATCAACAACAACTTGCAAATAGCATGCCACATGAAAGATTCCAGCTCCAAAATGTTGCAAATATATGCAAATATCATGCAAAATCGAAGGTTCCAGCTCCTAAATATTGCAACCTGTAAGTAAAATGCAAGGCTCCAGCTCCCAAATGTTGCAAGCGTCTTGCAAAATGGGAGGTTCCAGCTCCAAAATGCTGCAAATAGCATGCAAAAAGGAAAGTTCCAACTATAAAATGCTGCAAACAGCATTCCAAATGGAAGGGCCGAGCTCTAAAATGCTGTGCATAGCGTGCTACATGAAAGCTTCCAGCTACAACACGTTGCAAATGGCATGCAAGATGGAAGGTTCCAGCTCACAAATGCTGCAAATAGCATGGAAAATAGGCACACCCAGCAATCAAACAAAGAACAAAGAAACCCTTATATAACCAAAAAAAGAAACTCCCTAAACAAGTTCTTACCCTAGAATATAAACTCCCAAAATTACAAACATGCATACTCCTCCCATATCGTTTGAACTTCGGGCTCCGCCGAGGGGGCTATTTGGACCGCGCTGGCTTTATGCAGCTACTGGACTGGGTCGGATGCCCCAGTTAAGCAGTGTGGCATTGGGTCGTCGGTGAGGGCAGGCTGTTTTGCTTGGAACGGATCACCTGTGTTCATTCTTGGTGATACTTTATGGCCAGAAGTTTGTGATGGCGGCCGTTCTCTTTCACATTTTATTGATGTTGTATGTATTACTGTTACTCCTGTTCAGGTCTCCCCCAAGAGGTGGTGAAGATTGCGCTCCTTTGCGCAAAGAAGAAAACAATGCCCCAGAATGCCCCACGTTTTCAAGACGAAGAACTGAAACTGGGAGGGTGCAAGATCTAATGCAGCCACGGCAGTACCCGGAGCAGTACCAGCAGAAGCAGCTGCAGCATGCAGCATACAACTACGACCATAAGAGATCATAAGAGAACAAAGACGAAGTAGAGCTCCCCAACACCGGCCCAACTGGGTTGATCGATTGTGTAACCTCCATATCGAGAGAGAGAGAGAGTGACATACTCGATTTATCTCGATTTTATGTATACTTGCACATTATATGCTGCCTCCATCCATCTCCATCCCAATTGGATTTCTTCCGGTAGCTTGCATCCCCATCCGCTCGTCAGCGGCCAGCACTCTCCTCCCATGTAGGTGAAGGTAAGCATGACTTCTGCAGAGCAAGATGCTCTATTCCAACGATATCCTGCTGGACCTGGGCTTTTGCTTGGAGCTCAGGCTTTGACCAGCAAAACACGAAGCCCTGCCATGGCCAGATCCCCTTATTTGGAAGCAAGGAATTATCGCGAGGTGATCAGCAAGTTCGAACAGCTTAGACCTTAATGCCGAAATGCTTGACGCATGCAGGGTCAGCGAGCAGGTCGAAGCACTTAGCAAACATCGCAGGATGCTACAGGATTTTCCAGGCTGCATGGTAGACGAGAACTCAACCATGGCCGTCAGCTCCCATGATTGTTACAAAAGCTTTGACAAAATTGGTGCATCATGATTCATGATCCTTTGGCAAATGGATTGAAGAAGTGGCTGCCTAGCCTAGCTGGATTCTGTTTTGCATTCCGCATCCAGAGATGTTGATGCGTTAACATACGTGAGGCGTGAGGGCCCTCAAACTTTGTCGCACTGGAATCCACTGTTTGAAAACATGTGATAGTCGGCGGTAGCTTTTGTTTCTGAAATTTGTTGGCGGTTCAAGCTGGTTGTTTGCTTTTACTGTAGATCTTTTAGCATTTTTTGCTCGTCTTGTTTGGTCATGTTTTTGAACTTCATTCATTTTGTTCGCATCGTATATAGCTGCGTAGCTGTACCTGCCTGGTCATCATCCTACCTGGTAGAGTGCACGATGCGGCCGTGTGTTTGAAAACAATTTTGTGAATTATGCACTAGCCTCGCCTGATGGTTGACTGAGGCCAGTGCCTGCCAGCCAACTCCTCATTTGGCGCATCAACCAGAATTATTGTGCACCCATGACAATTGATTTTATTTTCATTGACCGTAGTGCAAGCCAGCGGAGGTAGTATGCCTGCACCTCCAGTTGTTGGAGGTGTCCCGCAAGCACCATTGCTTCCGGCACCAGCAGCCCCTAGTGCAACCATGCCAACGCCCCCAATACCACCAGCAGCACCAAACATGTCCACAACCCCTGGCATCCCTGCAACACCCACCCCCCCACTTCCACAGGCACCTGCCACAACACCTAGCTTGCCTGCCGCGCCATTGCCGCCTGCAGCACCGGGGTTTCCAACTCCCAGCCTTCCTCAACCACCTGCAGGAATTGGCGGTCCGCCGGCAGCGCCATGCCCTGTGCCACCGGCTGCTCCTGGTTTGCCAAGTCGGCCTGGTTTGCCAGCAGCACCCACAGCACCTGCAATGCCACCTTTGGCTCATGGTCTTCCAAATGCACCCAGACCACTCCCTCCTGCAGCTCCTGGTGTGCCCCAACCTTTGCCGCCTGGCCCGCTCCCAACACCGCCACAACCAGCTTTGACCAGACCAGGAATTTTCCCATCAGCGCCAGGCACTCCAGCTCCCCCTTTGAGTCCAGCTGCACCTGCTCCTCCGACCTTGCGCCCACAAGTGCCAGGAGCACCGCAAATGCCCTGCCCACCAGCACCAGCTCCTGGCGCTCCCATACCAGGAAGGCCGCCATCAGCACCAGGACCACCTGTACCGGGACGGCCTTCGCCTCCTGGAGCATGCATTTCATTCTCTTCGCCATCCGCTCCGGCTGCTCCAGGCCGCCCAGGTATGCCACCTGCACCATTAGCCCCAGGAAGGTCAGCACCCCTTGCGCCTGCAGCACCGGGAGCACCCATTCGAGCAGGAACGCCTTTGGCTCCAGCAGCTCCCCAGGCACCATCCGTTGCTGGTCGCCCCGGCTCATCAATCCCAACCAGAGGCACAACATTTTCTTCAACTTCAGCTCCTGGACCACCTCCAGCTTCCCCGTGGCCGTCCAGACCCGGAAGCAGCCCAGCCGCACCTGCAGCACCAGCACCTCCAACTCCAGGTGGACCACTTCGGCCGACTCCATCCGCGCCACCACCTAGCCCTGGAGGAACTCTCTTGGGAGCAAGGCCAGGCTTACTGGGATCGACGACCTCTCGAGGCTGTCACAGCTCCATCTCGACTGCACCACCTCCTGCTGCCCCACCACGTCCTCTTGGAGTATCATTCTCAGAATTTCCTTGTCACATTTGATGGATTTAAGATGATTAAAGAGTGGAATAGCCTGTGAACCTGCTGTGCAAATTTTCTCTCACACGCTATGAAAAATGAAAGGCATCGTCCTCTTCAGCTTTGCGGTCGGTGCGGTTTGGATGATGCTTGACAGCAGCTTGCCGAACAAAAAAGCAGGAAAAAGCTGCCAGAAGTGTTGGGAGGTAAAATTTGTGTTCTAGGCTAGGATTGGCGACCGCAGTGGAAAACGCTGTTGGAAGAGCATCAAGGATTTATGCTGTCAGCAATGTGTGGGTATAGGGTTAATGAATCGCATGTAGCCAGGGGCTCAACGCACAAGAACGGAGGGAAGGCACAAATACAATCAAATGATGTCAAATGATGTCAAATGTATACAAAGATTATTTCAAACAGATGCGGCAAGATGCGGCAAACAGCTGAGATTGAAAGAAAGCTCTTCAGAGTTCAAGTCTTTTACTTATGGCGCGTCGCAACGAGCACGCCACGGCTCAAAATATAAGGCCCCGATCAATCCAAAACCCGGACCTTAATGATACATAATAAATCATAATAATCATGCATGGTCCCAATCTATATTTGTCATTATTTGTCTATTTATACACGAATATATCGTCAAAGACAGGTGGTAAGAAGAGATTTCCCTGCTTACTGCAGCCCAAAAATCCTTGATTCAGGCACTTTGGCCATTGGGGGAAAATCCTGGATTTCAGGGGTGTAGTAAGGCAAACTATCAAAACATGAAACTGCCTACTGCACCCCTGTTGAAACAGGTCATGTAAGAAACACATTGAAAATATACTCAGATAGAAAACAATAATAATGAATAAACAAATAGAACCACATAAAGAAAATACATTATTTTAATATCATATATATATATATAATATATATATATTAAACTTATCTAATCTTATATATATAATTAATTATTTAGTTCGATTTAAATTATACATATAAAGAACAATAGATATGAATATATTGAGATAATATTTTACAAATATAATTATAATCTATTTTAAACAAATAATAACATGTTTTTATGATATATATATAGTATATACACAATAAATTGAAATTTAATTCTCGAAATAATGTGGAAAATTTTAATTCATAAAATATCGAAAGCCAGCCGGACAAGCTGGCTAGTTGTGTTTTGCAAACGTAGTGAGAGAGTAGGGGTCTGGGGGGAGGCGTTGCCAAACAGTGTCAGGTCTGTTTTTCCCGTCTCAGTTGGTGTTCAGGGTGTTAACTGGGAGTGTTTTGCAGGGTAATGTACCAGGTCGCAAATGGGTGACGGTGCGACGGTGGGTATCGATTCCCCCTTGGTCCGTGATATTGGAGTTAAGTAGATAGACAAATACTAGGGCTAAATAAGTAGACAAATAGATTTTTGGCATTTAGCGTTTAGCGTGTGCAGGGTTTTCTAGTTCTCTGATGTTTCACCTTTAGGCTTAAGGAGTTTTTTGGGTAGCTTGGGGTCGGGTAGTTGATGATGTTGCTTCGCGGCGCACTTCTCTCGATACTCTTAGTATGCGACCCATTGCTGAGAGTTACCGAATCCTGGGGGATAGGAATTCTCGGTTCTCCAAAGAAAGGAGATAACTCCTGTGCGGTGGGTGAGTCATGCCCCAAAGCCGCTGAAGAGAAAGGGGAAGGGCTCCGTGGCGTGCCTCCGCGCCCGGAGCCCGAAACCCGACAAAGATGGTGGCCTGTTGGTTTCCAGTGGCTCATTAAAATCAGCCTGAGGTTGATACATGATGCGGCAAGCACCAGCTTGGAGTATTGCGGCACCCTGTGCGCCTCTATCGGTCTGGCAGCACGATGGTCTTACTGGTTAGCTACGGTTACTGTGGTGCTTTTCTTGGTTCAGCTCACGACATGGAGCTTCTCTTGGGTGATCATCCCTGCAGCCAAGCACCTGACAGCCCTTTGGCGTTACCTGAGAGGAAGTGGGCAATTCTATGAAGTTGCGCATCTCCATGGTGTCAGGATGTTCCGTCCGAAATGGATTGGACCGAGAGGCAGGGAGGAATGGTCGGCCGGGTATGTGCAGCATGAGGTGAGGGGCCGAGGAGAAGGTCGAGAACCCTTCGACCTCCTGGTGACAGATGGCACCGCCATCGCAAGGTTACGACACGGGACGTTGAGAGGCAGAACCAACCGGTTCGGGTTCAAGGCAGAGTGCGACACGGTTCACTCTTGCTCTCATCGATACTATCGAGGTCAGCTTGAAGGCATGGAGTGCAGGGTGCATCTATGTTCCAGTCATCCCTGCGGCCAACCAGACGATGATTGCATGCATGCCGTGGCCTCCGCGGTGGTAGCGAGAAACACCGACTTCGACCTGCAGGACGCTGCTGGGCGTGGCCCCTTGGCACGCTGCGCAACTGCGGCATGGCTCTTCGGGTACACCGGGTGTGGGCTCTTTGGATCGATTGCCAGAGGGTTCAAGCGGATGCTGGCTTGTATCTGCTGCTCACCATGCTGCCGTGGTAAAAAACGCTCACGTTCCAGGGCACCGCCCTCAAGCGAGGCTTCGACTCCAAGACACGACGACTCGGAGACAGAGTCAGAGGTCGATGACGAGACTTCGTGTCAAGCAGAATCCGTGGCATTTTTGGTGAATGGTAAAGCCACCCCACTCTCATTGACCCCTTGTAAGGATTCCGCTCGAGGAGAGAAGCTGAAATTGCTGAGTGCTGACGCTGAGGTGAGCAGTGCCGAGGATCTTCGACACGAAGACGGGAACTTCTATTTCAACTGCTGCAATCACCACCGGGCTATTTATGAGGGACAAGCAGCAAAGAGGACTTGTGCCATAGAGGGATGCGACCGTGAGGTGAAAGCGACTCGGAATGGCTTGAGGTTGTGTAAAATGCACGGGTCTAAAGAGGAACGAACCCGTACACCCCGTGGAAGAAACACCCCCTCGCCCAGTGTCCCCAAGACAGAAGAGCCTGCGCACTCTCAAGGGCCCGAGGCGCGTTTCGCGCCCGGGCGACCTGCAGCTAAAGGCCCCGAAAGGGCACAGAGTTCTAAGGTATCACTGCTGAGCAAGTACCTCAAAAGCATTTTGGAAGGTAAGGGTGAGCTCGTGGGCTTACAAGATTGCGCTGAA